CATCGCCCGGATCCAGCCCGCCATTTCTCGCGAACCCGGTTCGTACTTCTTCCTTGCGAATTGTACCGCCGTCGACACCGACGAACATTTGGTATGCTTTCTTTTGTAGCTTACTGTACTCACTGTTTCGTAGAAATTTGAAATTGCCGCTGAGTTTGGTGGGATGAGAATGTCTGATTTCTTAAGTTGGTTTTTGGAGGTGCAATGCGAGACTGTAACTGATGGATTGGACACTGTGGAGCCATGGAAGTTTAAAATATCGTATGATAAGTTGATTATAGCGTTGGGGTCGCAGCCACTGACTTTTGGGATTAATGGAGTCAAAGAGCACGCCATTTTTCTTCGTGAGGTTTATCATGCCCAGGAAATTCGTCGGAAGCTGCTTCTCAACTTGATGCTCTCTGATGTTCCAGGTATAGACTGTTTATTTAACTTGCKTTTCGTGTTTGGTAACTATTTCTTGTTACGGTGTCGGAAATGAGAAGAAGAAGCAAGAAACTAGATTTTATTGTTTTCGGAATCTCTACATCATATTTGGGAACTATTGTCAAAATGTTCATTGGGTGTTTCTGTTTGAGCCGTGGGGGTCCGCTTGGTTTACCTATTGGCAAGTCGCATCCCCGCAGAAAAAATGATTTATTGGGAGGGCTATGAGAAATCCACTTTGTACCTTCGTTTCGTCATCAAAGCCTCTTCTCCCAGGGTCTTGGTTTACCCATCTTAATAAAGTGCATGATTAGCTCAAAAGAACATCTTGCAATACAGGCGATTGGAGATAATATAACTAGCAAATATGTTCCAACATATTTTATTGTCAAGGAGGAATTACGCTTGCTTAGTAGTTACGGGATTTGCTATGACTTTTTTCTACGTTTCTCAAAATTAGAACAAGAAACTAGATTTTGTTAATGTTTTTCTCCCTCAGTGAACATAGCTTGAATTTGTGTCATTGGTAGGCATCTCAGAGGAAGAGAAACTCCGGCTTCTACACTGTGTTGTGGTTGGAGGGGGACCAACTGGAGTTGAATTCAGTGGGGAGCTTAGTGATTTTATTAAGAGGGATGCTAGTCAAAGATATGCCCATGTGAAAAACTATATTCGAGTTACTCTGATTGAGGTTTGTAAATCCTCGATCGAAACACTGGATTCTTTATACATAATACACCGTGTCGTTTCCCCAAAGTTTCGGGGAAGTTGTCTCTCTATTCTATGTCGTTGAATACCTTTTTAAGACTTGAGAAGATTCACTTGCTTGTTTCTGTTTAATTGTTTAACAGGCAAATGAGATATTATCTTCCTTCGACGATCGCCTCCGGCACTATGCTACTAAACAATTGACTAAGGTAGGGAAATACATTAGAGTGATGCCTTTTTTCTCTTAGGGAGGATAGTAACAGGTTCCATATTTCTTCATTAGGATGCTTTAGATTTGAAATTCTTCGGTCTCATTTGTTCATATCCTTCAGTCAGGAGTTCAACTCGTACGCGGGATCGTCAAAGATGTTACTCCTCAGACCATCATTCTCGATGATGGCTCTAAGGTTCCTTATGGGTTGTTAGTTTGGTCTACTGGTGTTGGTCCCTCACCCTTTGTAAATTCCTTGGAAGTTCCAAAGTCTCCTGGTGGCAGGTAAGTTAAAATTTTATGCTTTCAGCTTGGCCCTTAGTTTCATTCAAATCATGGATTATGGTTTCCTATTTATGCTTCATTTTCTATTAGTAATCAAAGATTGCATAGAGAGAGATGACGAGAACGTTTTATCTCTGATTAYGTTGTCAGGATCGGTATAGATGAATGGTTACGTGTTCCTTCTGTGGAAGATGTGTTTGCAATAGGCGATTGCAGCGGGTTCCTAGAGAGTACAGGGAAACCGGCTCTTCCAGCTTTGGCCCAGGTAAGTTGAGATACTTCTGAATATTGTGGTTTTTCTGCTGTTGCCAAGAGATGTCAAGTTTTGTATTGCAACCATTTTTTGCATTCYGAAGGTAGCAGAGCGCCAAGGCAAATATCTTGCAGCCCTGCTGAATAAGATTGGTAGAGAAGGTGGGGCACGAGCGGGTAGTGCGAAAGAGTTTGAACTCGGAGCGCCATTTGTCTACAAGCACCTAGGAAGTATGGCAACTATTGGAAGATACAAGGCTCTGGTCGACCTTAGGCAGAGCAAAGTAAGCAACAGATCGAGTTGCTCCGGGGTTCCTTTCTTTCTTGCTCTATATCGTGAATTGGGTGGCTTACTTGTGATAATTTTCTACAGGAAGCAAAGGGGATAGCCATGGCAGGGTTCCTCAGTTGGTTCGTTTGGCGTTCGGCTTATCTAACGCGGGTCATAAGCTGGAGGAATAGATTGTATGTTGCAGTGAACTGGGCAACAACGTTTATCTTCGGTCGCGATATAAGCAGAATATAGATTTGGAAGTAAAATCTCTCCATCTCACAGTGGTGAATTGTTCACCAATATAAAACGTCTTGCTCTGGATCTGCAGTAAAACTATCCGATTCTTGTAATTCACATAAAAATCTGAATGATGGCAGCCATAGTGCAATTCCTCATCAGAAGCTCACTGTACAGTTTATTTCCACCAACTGTTATTTTGGGTTAAATTGAAAGCAATGTTGCATGTTGAGAGAAATTCTCAATTTGTAGAATTATAAGCTTCGTCCCAACAAATGCTTTTCAATAAAGTTTCATCATTGGCCGCTATTTCAATCTTAATGGTTTATATGGCTGCTTGAATTCTACCCAACCTTTCTGTATATTGTGAACTGTTGTGCGTTTCCCCTTTTCTGAAACAGAGAGAGAAGGAAATTTCCTTCACTAAAGAGTTTTGGTAGAGAAATTGGGGAGAAGTATCTGTATCTCTAGATTTGAAAATAAACGAGTTCTATCACATCTAATAAAGAATTTGTGATCATCCGTTGCTAAAAAAAAGAGGGTGAAATCCAACTTGGATCTAGAAAATGAAAATTCTACCAAAGATGCTGAATTATTATGTACTGAAAATCTCTGCCAGAGTTGTCAATCTGGAAAAACATCCTGGACGACCTGATTATGCCAACGTACTCTTCAACCCGCAAGTCGACTGCGAATGAGTTCTTTCATCTCGGTCACTCCGGGAAACCGCCCTGCCTGTAGTTTACAAAACACCTGCAGGTACAAAACAAGTGGGAAAATGATTTGATTCTTTTGGGATGTGGAATCATCTTCAGAAATGTACATATAACCAAGGATTAAGAAGAAAGAAATGTTCAGTACCAGTTCATCATTGAAGTAAACTTCAAAGGGCTCAGTGTTTTGGAGGTAGTTTATAGCTATGCTGCCCAGAAGCCAAGGGATTGCGATGACAAAAAATTTGTGTGCGGCCAAACGATGGTACCAAGGAGGTATTGGCATTCTCATCTCGGCAAGAATATATCCACCAGCCATCACTATGATAATAATCAGTACTTGTGCAGTTGATATAAATTTTGTCGTAAGATATTTGGTCAAATCTGGAGGATGATGTGAAAGAGTAACATTGATTCCAGGAAAGTTTTCAAGCACCAGCAGCTTAATCGACATGGAAGTTCCTCTGCCAAAACATGATATCAGAGGGTAAAAAGGAGACGAGGAAAAATAAGGAATGGTGTGTTATATTTGAGAAGTTAGAATTACAGAAACAGTTTATGGGGACAATAAATGATCAAATTAAATACTTCAACTGTGTCATTCTTGCAATGGATCAACATTAATCAATTAAAATACRCACTAAAATTAACCAAAAGAGTAGGAAAATGTGAAGAATTAACAAAAATGATAAAAGAATATAGTCCATTTCTTTTCCTATAATGTTACTTCAAACATGCAGTAAAATTCAGTAATCAAGATAATAATCAGTAGACTGTAGTCGATCAATGAGAAAAAACCATCATAAATTCCCCTCCACATTAGCATGGAGACATTTCTGATTCCAAATTCGAAAAGCGCGAGAGAAATATCGCTTTCCATAATACAGAATTCGCTAGAAATCTATTCCATCGCTGCGAGATACAAAACTTGATCTCTCAAACAAATGCCACAGATTATGCGAAGGACAGCCACASTACAGGTGCGCGATTGATCAAGAAAGTAAACTCCAAAAATATGAGCAGTTTTTGCCACTATTTATAAAATGGAATGTAACCTGTAAGAGCACAGAGAGCTGAATTTGATGAGAATCGTATCGCCTACGTTGGCTGTTTGCGTCTGATTCGAACTCCCCGATTGTGTCCGGTTCAAATCGGCTCCAAGTGTTCGATTCAAATTGGCTGTAAGCGTTTGGTTCAATTTGGCTGTAAATGTCTGATTCAAATTGGCTCCGTGTGGATGATGAAAGACGAGAGAATTGGATGATTTCGGAGGCGGAGTAGAGAAGAAACYGTAGATGTCGAAGCAGAAGACAGAGAGCGGCAGCAATGTSAGAAGCAACACTCTTCGATCCATTTTAATTTCAGATCTTCTGCTTTTGCAGGAATTTGAAATTGCACTTCGAAAGAAGAAGATGAAGAAGAGGAATCAGGAACTATTATTCACTATGATTTTCTTTCAGTTCATAAAGATTTCAAAGGAATTCTTATCCTTTTGAAATGAATTTAAAAAAAATTAAAATTAAAATTCAGTAACAGAATCTTTTTCCGTTCCATGGTTGAGTGAAGAGTTCCAGTGCCTTAGGTTTCAAATTGCATGGCTTGCGGATGAAGGGACCTCGGCATGCTCGATGCACGTGCATTTTCATTTTCCCTCTGCTTTTTCCTTTTGATATAATTAATTAAATTGTAAACTCAAAATATTATTGTTGAAATTTTTACACCAAGAAGTTAATACTATGCTTTATTATCTGAATTTGTTGATTTAAACGATAACTAAAGAATGTTCATTTTGATTTTTATTTTCTATTTTAAAAAAATTAAGTTTAGAATCATTATTTTTTACCTATCTTCATTTATTTTGTTATATGATTTTTACTACATCTTAAAAATTAAGAAAAAAAAGTAGTTTTAAAGATTTACTTTTATTTTTGAAATTTAGCTAAAAATTTAAATATGATTTCATGATATGAACTTGCTGTACAAAAGCAAATACAATGTAATTTTAGAAAACGTAAGACTAAAAATAAAATACACCTAAATAATAGTAGACGKTGACTTGAAGAAAGAAAATTTAGGAAATTTTTAATTACATATAGCTCTAACCAATATTGTTTTTATAAATTAACCTTTCTTACCATCAAAATGTATTATTCAAATAAGTACAATTTAAATTTGTAGAAGTAAGAAATTTGTGTGTGTTCAAATGGCAGAAACACTTAAATAAATATTTAGATATATGTATAACTATAAATATCTAATATGAGCCAAAGTAAGRAATTTGTGTGTTCAAATTTGTGTGCATGGGCCCAAGCTCTATAGGAAAGAAAATAGCATAGGCATCGCAACGACTACTCTTTTGCGCTAGGAGTTATGTTATTATCGTTTAGTTTAGCTTTCATTTAGGAGTGAAAAGGAACATCTTTATGAGATGAACGTGAGGTCCAATTTTAACATGATACTTTTACCCAAATGATATACAACTATAATATATGCGTAATATAGCTAACTACTGATATATGTACGTGTGATATACTARTGAAATGAGTGTCTGATATACTTGCAATATGTATGTGATATGCATCTGATATATTATTGATATGAATATCTGTGCATTATGAATGTAAGTGAAAATTTAAAAAAACATGTAATATATTTTGAAATACACCATTTTGTTTTTTTTGTTTTTTACCCATTACAATTTTTCTTATATATATATATAATGAATTTAACCATATGTGGGCGAAAATTGAGGTCACGAAAGTGGAAGCCAAGAAGAATGTGAGCCGTTCATTAATTATTTTTTAATTTTTGAAAGATGAATGAAAGTCTGTTCTCAGAATTTGCCTTTTTTTTTACGTAAAAAGAAGTTGTTATTTTAGGAAAATCACCGACTTATGAGTAATTTCACAATAATTTTAATACTTGAAAATCTCATATCTTTTAGAGACGTTATATATATTATATATATGTTCTATAGAATACTGTTCAGCACTGGAAATTTTGCACATGGAATCATCTTTTTTTACCCACAATTTTCAACATTCAAATTGCAATATTAGCCATCAATCAAAACATAGTTTTGGTAGATAAAATATCAATTTTTATTTTCATTCCACATCTATTAAACTTATAATAAAAATACTTTGTAAAATTAGTCATATGAAGGTGAAAGACCTACCTTAACCAATTGAACTATGCTAAGAATGTTCATTCAAATGAACCATAAATCAATGGATTATAAATAGTTCAAGAACGCTTTTGGTAATTTTAAATTGTTGGATGCAAAAGAGACTTAAAATTATGGTTTAGATTTTAATCATGAATCCAAGGATTCTAAGTGCAGCCACATTGTTCAAAAGTGAGTTTTTTCTTCTTTTTTTTTTAAACAATATTTTGGTCCACCTATTTTCAGTTTCAGTTTATTTTGATGTATGTACTTTCAACTTTAATCATAAAGATTTATTTCGATCTCTGTATTTAAAAGGAAAAAAAAGCAAGAATTTCTCATTTTTAATGAATTCAAAAAGTTTAAAAAGGAGTTGTAAGGACAATTTCTAGTAATTGGATAGCAACCTACTTTCTTCGTCAAGTGCTCTTCCCACTATCAACACCATAAAAAGAAAAAATACATTATTTTCTAAAGCAATGAAGAAAAGATTGCCCTTTTTKGTAGTGCTCCATAATCTCTATCCCACTTTGAATCATGGGAGAATGAATTTTAGCTTTCTACCTTTTAAATAATGAAGGATAGGAGCTTTTGGCAAGAAAAATCAGAATGTGAAAAAAATAATAATAATAATTATACAGTAGGATTTTTTTTTCTTTTTGTTAGCAGTGATTTAAAACAGCATATTAAAGTACAAGAATACCCTTGTCAATTCATTTGAACATTCAGAACACAGAAGAATACTGATGAGATGTCTAAAAAAGGTTGRAAGCAAAAATTGTTATTCTTCAAGTGAAAAAACTAGTTATGGAACGGGCAGAAACATTTCTTCTGCCCAAATTTGATTCCTCTAAGTACAACATTCTTTTAGCTTTGGGAACATTTTCCCTACCTAATTAATAATTATGATGAATATCAATGACAATTTTAAAAAAATATATAAATTTATAAATATATATATGACCACAATATGATCCAACTTCTGAAGGTTAAGAGGAAGCAAAAAATGTGGCTGAACTCCAAAGCTTAAGCAACCAACTGCTCCTGTTCCAGGTACATTTGCTCCACCCATGTCGGGACTGTCTCCGAATCGCCGTTGTTGAGATGATAAAGCTGCTGCTGCTCATCTGTACTCGACCGCATAGCGTTCTTGGTCGGAGCATCCTTCACCAGGGACTGAACCCACGACACGTCTGGCTCCGCAGGAGCAGCATGCATTGCAGATGTGATTGCTAAAGAACTGCTGCAACTGCCTCGTAACCCAATCGATGCGGATTTTCTTAACTTGTGGAGTTCTTCCCCATGAATTCCCCAGTCTAGTTTCCCGTCGGGCGAGCCCCAATCAGAGAGGTTGTTCAAAGGCATAGCAGTTGCAGATGTAGCTGGGGGTGAGACTGAAAGTCCAGAATGACGATTCACTGCACCACGTTCGATAAAGCTCTGGCTCCGCTTGGCGAAAGCAGCAGCCCGGGAACTCAGAACACTTGTTGCAGCAGACACCGACATGTCGACACCAAAAGGCTGAGATGCCCTTGCAGGAGGGGATGCGATGCTGTTAGCATATCGTGAGAGGAATGACTGATTCATGTTTTGGCGCATCTGAATCCCAGAAGGGGATTGTACCTGAGATGCAACAGAGTCCAGTGAAAGTCCTTGTAATTGGGATAAAGTTGCGGGATCTACAGACCCGAAAATGTCCTCGAGGTTAGTAGGATTCACGCCTCCGAGCCCATTCATTTCTCCATTTCTACTCCTGGGGGATGGAAAAGATGCAGGGGTTGACAAGCCACTGTTCCATCTGGAAGGAGAAGGCAGACAGGATAGCTCATCCATTAACTGTTGCTGTCTACGGCGCTGATTTTCAAGACCAAGTAACTCAACATCTAAATCTATGTCTCTCGCGCTCCAAGCAGCCTTCAACCTGCTACCTGGAAGCTGCAAGGTCGGTGGTGCGATATTACATTGAGTCTGCCACAAGGTTCCACCCATCGGAGAAGAAACTCCAGAAGGAGTCATGGGTGGGGTTGATGAAGGAGGTATCACAGCTGAAGGAGAACCAAGAGTAAGTGAGCTGATTGACGCAATATCTAGTGAAGAACCACAGATTGATCTCGGAGACACTACAGCAGAACCGGTTGAGGCATACAGCGGGCGGAGCTCTTCCGGTTTGTGAGCAAAGAAACAGACTTTTCTGGTGCATCCAGTTTCATCCTTGCAAAGACGAGTACGATATTGAGCAGGATGGAGCCAACATTCAAAAATTCCATGAGCATATTCACAGGCATCCCCCTGCCTACATGTGCCCTTTCTGAATTCGGGACACGGCACGCAGCTGTAATGGTATTTCCTCGGATCCCGCCTCCTTGCATTTTCCCCCGGGTGTACAAATGGACACTCTGTCCAATCATGGGAGTAAGCTCTCGTACAAGGCTTGATCTTAAAAGTATACATTCTAAACTCATCTGTGCTATATATTCCATTCTTGATGTCTGGAAGAGAGAGATCAACTGGATACTCTTTTTTCTCTGTCCCGTCTCTTGAAACCCGAGCAGTCGAAACCTCCCAAGGCTCCTCCACTCCTCTCTCATAAAATATTTTGTTGGATGAACCAAGAGTTTCTTCACTTTCATCAGCGCCATTTAGCAATTGTTGCAGTGCCTTTTTTCTTGAATAGAAGGCTAAAGTATGAGCAGGAGCAATCAAGTCACCGGGCCGGTTACCATTTGCATCAACGGCGTTCACGTCAGCAGAAGCGTCAAGCAACACTTTAGCAACCTGATCTAAGATAGCAGAACCACCAGCAACGGCACAATGGAGTGCCGTGGCGCCATCAGAACCACAAGCCCGATTAACATCAACACGACCACTGCGAAGGATATAAGATAGGACATTCATGCTCCCAAACATGGCTGCAACAATAAGAGGGGTCCTTTCTTCATATCCCATCTTCTTTGAACCAAAAATTCTCCCATACCACAAGCTTGATTCATCAATATCATGGCCATCTTCCTCCACAGCCTTCTTAAATCCAATCAGGTCATCTTTAGCTGATAATTCGAGCAAAAGAGAGAAATTATAGCCTAATCCCTCGTGCTTCAATCCACTGTCCATCACGAAGCTAGAGCTTGCAGATTTCCTATTGCAACCATGGCACATCAAAATCTCCCTAAGACCTCCAAATTTCTACAGAAAAGTATTTCGCGAAAACATATTCAGAAGCAAAACTAGAAATCGCATTCAAGGAAAGGAAGTTTCAAGGAGGGTGCAGGGGGGCCAAACCCAGAACAAGAAATAAATCAAGACCCAAAATCGAAGATATTTTGTTAAAATTGGCGAAGAAATTCCCAATTCTTTGGCCATCTAACCATACCCAAACTACAAAAGAAAACAAATTCAGGCAGAAATGGAAAGAGAACATTAAAATCCCAACAAGCAAAACGACATAACAAAAACAACCCCTGTTTGGTCACCGGTAAAACGGCAAAGAAGAAAAATGGAAGAACAGGAACGGATAAATCCCAGAAACTGAAAAACTGCACTCAACACGCAAATACCCAGAATTGAAAATTCACTTTACCAACAAAATCTTCGACGACTTAACCAAAAACTCAGAAACCCACCACAAACCCATGTCCAAACAACATCTAAAGTTACAGAACCGCCATAACATTTAAAGAAAATTACCTCCCAAGGAAGAAAAACGATGAGAGAGCGGCAATAGGTGGATCGAAAGAGCAGCTCCGACAGGGCTAGACTTGGGCTTCCAAACAAAGCTTTAAAAGCTAGACGAGTAAAGCGATAGAATGAAAGTAGGACTTTTCCTCCTTAAAAGACCAACCTACTTCTAAACATAAGCCAAAGCTCTTCGGTCTCCGCCACCGTCCTCTTCAAAGTTCAAACTCTCTCCATTTTTGTCCTCTTTTTTCTTTTCGTTTCTTTTAGGTTAAATTACAACTTTAATATCATGTATAGACATTATCCCTTTTTAACTATTAATTTTGTGTTAATAAATCATCAACTTTTAATTAATCTGATGCCTAAATTTTTTATTTATTGTATACCTTTTCAAATTTATGGACGTTGAGATACAAAATTGAATCTTATATTTTGATATGTCCATAAATTTATAAAAACATTGAATAGATCAATGGAGATTTAGACTCGAAATTGAAAGTACGAGAATTTATTAAAAATAAATTTAAATGTTATTTTGATCTCTATATGTAGTTTATTTTCATCTCTTTATCTCTTTAATTTTAAAATGTCCATTTTAATTTCGATATTTTCAATTTTTGTTCATTTTAATTCAACTACTTTTAAAATATTTATTTTGACCCGTATACTTTAAAAAATGTACCATTTTTAATTTATATTTACAAAATTTTATATACAATAAAAATCTTTTATTATAACTATTTAAAAATTTTAATGACTGAAGTATTTAATTAAAATTTTAATTGAAATAAATTAAAGTTAAAATAGATATTTTAATAGTACATCAATCAAAATAAAATAAAAACAAGAGAGTACACAAATTAAAAGAGTATTTGAACTTCTTTTTTTTCCCTCATCTTGTCCTGTTCGTTTCGTTTGATCTGCCCTCTGTGAGGGAAATGAAACTCAAATTCAATCCAAAATGAAATGCAACTCAAATGCGCAATTTCAAACCCCCAAAAAAAAATCCTTGTGGGCCCCACGTGGGAGGGACGTGATTTTAATTGCGGGTGCGCCACGTGTTGGTGTATCAGTGGATAGGAGTGCACCAAAAGTGACCGTATCGATATTCCGGATCATCATGCCTTACGCGTTTTTTGTCTCGGCCAATGACGTGGCATTTCCTGCACCGTCGGCGTGTTATAAAAAACACGAATGACTGTCGAAAATGGTCGAGCTTCTCTATGCTCACCGGCCCGTTTAGAAAATCAGGCAGAAAGGCGGATCTATTGGAGCCATTCTTCACATTCATTTGTCTGTTACCGTCTAAAGACTGTCACCCCCGTCAAATTATCAGACTCCTACACACCGAGGAAGTCCGAAGAGTTTTCTAGAAGTCCCTTCTTTGTTCAGCTGAAACGACGTCATCTTAGGATCGGAGTTGGTTGTGAAAAGTGAACTACTATCATCTTAATATTAGGTTAAATTATAAATTGTCTCAAGGTTGTGTATATTATAATAGGTGTTTAAATGTTGTCTATTATTTCACATTAATTTAATTGAATAGTGAGAGCAAATTTTGAATGTTTGATTATTTACCGGTAACGCATTTGTTTTTTAAGATCATTAAAGTATTGTATGATATTAGAAGTGAAAAAAGATATACGAATATCTCATTTTTATTTGAAAGTTATAATTTAATAATATCGTATATGTTAGAGGTGAAATCAAGCTTTGCCACATGGACCACTCGCTTGAGAACACGTGTCTAGGCACCAGCTCAAACAAATTGAAAATGAAGTGGGACATACACAACCGTCCTAACTTACCCAACACCAACGAGAGTCCTACCTGACAATGACTTAGAGCTATGACAGTTATTGTATGAGATCTACTCACTGCTAGATGCAGAGGCGCATAATAGATCGATATAAACCTCATGAACTGTCCCGTAATAAAACTTGTTGTTGTGATAATATACATATCACCAGCATAAAACTTGTTAAATATCAAGTATGAAGCGTGACATGACAGAGCAACATTTTCTAAAAGCTCCCCTATAAAATACGGAATTAATTGCTGTTAATATGTAATTTGTATGCAACATAACTAAACTTAACTTGACGTTAGTTCTACTTACTTAAGTTTCGAAGTATATATTGTCGAGTATCACATCGATGTAATATTTTATTTGCAGGTCATCGCTTTGCTTGTTTGAACGCATTCATTTCAAATCTAAAGCTAACTCATCAATCATCAATATCAACAACATCTATATATATTAATCTCATTCTTATTATTATTGCACTTAATCATTAAGATCTATGTGACCAAAAGTTGTGCATTTAATCCAATTATTTATTCTCACCACTTTCCATACTCATCCGTTTGTCTATTCATTCCCTTTCAAAAGTCTATTTAAAACACACATAAAAACATATAAATTTATTCATAGAAAAGCGAAGTTAATTATTTCATTTAATTCATGGAGTATACATCATTTTTCTTTTTAAAGATGGAGTATTCATCGTTTATTTCCCTTTAATGTTTTTTTCTATAATATTAAATTTTATTGTTTGACAAGTTTATAACATTAAATTAAATTTATTTATGTAAGGTATGAAAATTTGTAATAAAGTCTACAATCAACCATTTCATTACATAATTATAATTTATTAAATTAAATTATATATTTAGTAGTATAATCTTCAACTTAATCAATAAACTTTGAAGAAATTTTAAAATTTACAGACACCATGAAAATGTTTTAAAAAAAATTAATAAATAATATTTTAAGTTGTAAAGATTAAAATAATAATTTAACAACCGCCATTATTGATAAAAAAAAAACATTATATATATTACATATATAAACGGATAACATTTTAATTAAGGAACCGCCAAAATACTGTTCTTGGTCTCGGGTGTGCGGTGTCGAGTTTATCCGACGACTAGCGTTGGCTTGGGTCAAGGTCAATCGACGGCTCAGATTGAGTTCCTTAGCCACGAAGCTGAAGCGCAGCGCCTCCGATTTTGACCTACTGTCCGGGAAGCTGAAACCGGCATCGAAAATTAAATGTTAAATAAATGTCACAGTGGGGCCCATCATAATATCTCTAGAAATTTATCACATTTCATTTTCTTTGCCCCTTTCCTGGTCCTAGAATTTTGTCATTTTAATAATAATAATGTCTGTAAGATAAGAAGATGGTCTCTCTTTTTTTTTTTTTTGGGTTGGAGTTCATGAAAGAAGTTGGCCTTTCACCAATTCTATAATTATATTTTAAAATAATTAAGGTGAGCTCGAAAATGATATTATTGTCTTTCTTGATTTTATGATGACATTATTTTCTAAAATGGACAAATTTACAATGTCATTTTCACCTTTTTTTTTAACACATTTTCAGCCTTTTTATAATTAATAAATATATATTAACTATTAAGTCAGTAAATGATATATAAGTAATTAGAGGTGGACGGGTACATAACTCGCATGTCTTACATAGATTCAAAATTTCGTTCCTACATATTTTTTAACTTAAAAAAATAACTAGACAAATAGATACATTTGAAATTAAAAAAAAACAAAATTTAAATAATTTTTTATTTTCTTATTTTCAATATGATAATTTTCTTTTTTAGTACACCATGTGAGGTAGGGTTGAACTCACAACCTAAGATATATGTTAATTACCACTAAACATTTTGACATGATAAAAATATTAATTGCCAGTTGAATCAATTATAATTTTTATATCGATAAATAATACAAAAAATGTATTAAATTCTAGAAGCAGAAGTTCAAGTTCAACTAATATTAAGTCCATAATCAAATTTGTATTCCTGTTGTTTTTTCTTTTTAAATTAGCATAAATATTGAATATGTTGAATCACAAAATCACTCAACTTCGCGAACGTCGACTCATACAGAATGAGCTGAATTGGAATCTCTGTGAGTCGGACCTGCAAAACAAAGTGAACACCTTGATGCCAAAGTCAGCGAAAGTCCGAACTAAATCGAGAGATAATCGGAATATTCGCGTACCTTTAAATGAGTGAAATTATCCTATTTATAGGCAGAGACTCCGACAGAGTTCCCGACAAGACCTCAACGACTCTTTAAGATTACCGTGAAATGCGCTAGAGTATGTCGGAGGCGTGATCGAGCTGAGGTAAGCCAATCGACTCGACCAATAACATGGGAACACAATCTTGTCCAGGCTTGTTCGACTTGGCCACTGAAGGATTCGGCTCGACCGATGGGATGAGCCGAGATGTACATTCTTGGTCGATATTCTGCGGCCTCCATAAATCACGTGTCATATTTTGTATCCACTCACTACTTGTCACGATTATGCTGAAATCTGTCCCCAACATAATCAAATATGAAAAGTACAAATATTGTACAATGGAACCATACCAGTATTTTGATTTCTATATTTTTATTTGGCATGATATTTTAATTTGTACGTGAGATTCAGTCAAATTCCAAGCCAATGGTTAGGTTCTGACAAGGAGCAGGTTTTGTGGAAAAATAAAAAGCGACGAATATTGTTTAATTTAATTGGATTGGAAAATAAAGTAACATTTAATGGTCAATAAATCAATAAATAAAGAAGCCCATAATGGCCCACGTTAGGTGACCTGCAAATATTAATGGGCTTAGGCCTTGTCATCGGCCTTTCAACTTCACTTAATATATACTTTTTTTTCTCTTTTTTTTTTTTGGAAAGCACTTTATATATACCAAGGTTTGTTTTAAATTTCGATGATGATAAAAATTTCGATAGAAATATCTATAAAATGTGGATATTAATAGATATTTCTGAAAAATATAAAAATATAAAAATTATAAAAAATATTTAAATTTACAAATAATTATTTCAATATTTTTAAATAACTTTAAAATGATTAATATTAATATTATGTTTATATCATGATATTTCGTTGATATTTTTCATATTTTTTTTTGTAATATTATAGAAATATCAATTTATCATTCATGTTGATGTCGGACTCATGGACACGTGAAAATATGAACATATTAACAAATATTTACTACCCTAATATATAATTTATCTCATACATTTGAAGGAATTTAATAATTTGCTATCCTAAAGAGACCATTCAATATAATTGGTATAATAAAAAAATCCAATATATTAATTAGTTGATTTATACTTCACACAACCCCATGGTTGGAGGTTATGTCAATTACGCTGAGTTATGTTGGCTTCAACACTCTCACATAAATGGTTGAGTTAAAAAGAGAGAGAGTTATTATTATTAATATAGTTGAGGTGGTTGCATCTTTTAATAATTATAGGGTTTAACTTAAAAACTAATTTTTTTTTAGATAAATAGAAACTAATTAACAATGAAATAAGTAGTCTAGTTATTTAAAAACCTTGTTAAGTACGTCTCTTCATCGGACTTTTAATAATGCATCCTCAAGATAATGGATCTTTTGACCTCATCGATCTTGGCTGTAATTTTTTTTACATGATGCTCGTTTAAGCTTGTTGGATTTTATTAACATCTTAATATTCATAGGGTTTTTACTCCTCCCATTGGTGATTGATTTTGACATTAGAACCTTAAAAATACACAAATTACTCCCCTCGTTACATATTGATTTTGAGATGAAATTCTATGAATACTAAGATTATATATTCGATGCGAAACACTTGTAAACATTAACTAACCTTAATATAACTCAACTAGTTAAGATATATATTTTTGACCGAAAGATTATTGGAGTTTTGAATCCCCACCATACCCCCACATGTTATTGAAAAAAAAAAACCCATAGGAGATATTTGAATCTTTGACTTTTAAGTTTAGGATATATGTCATAACCCGCTTATATTTAGTTGTTTTTTTTAATATTGTATTGTTAATAAGAATTAAAATCTTGAACATACGATCGATAAGAAAATATAGTACACATACGAGTCATATTTGTTATACTATTGTTAATATAATAACAAAAGATATAGTTGCATAGAAAATATGAGTAGTTAACAATAAAATATATACGTATATCTTCTTACTTCTCGTATGTTTGAATTTTCAACTCTTATTTACCTTGCCACATGGAAAAAGAAATCTGTTTGATCAATATTTTAGTAAATTTATGAATAGATTCAATTTAGATATTCTATCAATATAAACATGACTTAATGATAAATATTTCTACAATTTTTTAAAAATAAAAAGTTCAAATTCTCGTATCTCGCAATATACTAAAAAATAATTAAATGTACCAATAACTATCTTTGTAATTATTACACTCTATTTTTTTCCTAAAAAAAAACATTTTTTTCTTTATTTAAGCTTTCGGGCTTCGGAAAAAAGAAAAAGTTTCGGGCCTATAGGCCCAAAAATGTTTGACGAGGTTCACATCCACGATTCGAGCCCACCTAGCGGAAGCGAACCTTCTTCCTTCACCTTCATTTCCGGCGGCAGCTGAAACAGCAACCCTACGGAACTACGTTTCAACTTCAGTTTCATTTCAAGTTTTCGAATCCAGTGAAGTTCTTCTTCTCAAGTTCTGCTAATTTTTCTACGCAGTGCGGAATGAGAACCGTTCAGGCTGCTTTGCGATCCCTTGGCGGTGGATTATCTCAAAGATTCAAGCAATCTTCCATGCTCAGAAGCCTTTCCACAAACGCCGCTCGTGGTAACTTCCACTTGTTTTGAATTTGAATCCATGAATTTCTTGTTATACTTTGAGTATTGACGTACTTTTAGTTCTTGATTTGGGCCGACATTCATCAGGTTTTTATGTTGCTTAAATGTGTTTTCATTTAGACATTGGCTTCACGGATTATCGAGTGCGAAACATCATTGTTTTTACGTCTTTCGTGGCTAAAACTTTTAAACAGAGACTGGCTTCGATGATGAAAAGAGAAAACCCGATTCCTTTGAGTCTGCTGATGATTTTGAACGTCGGATATTTGGTGGTGTTTCCTTGGACGATTCCGGAAACGAGGCTTTCTTTGAGAAGCTTGATAGGCTTGGGAAGCCTCGTGAAAGAGTAGGTTCAAGACTGAGTGGAGGAAACAATTTTCAGGCGTTGTATGGTCTTGATGATTATCTTAACACATTGTCAGATGGGATGGATGGCAAATTGAAGAAAGCTGCCACTTATTTTGAGTTTGATCCCGAGGAAATATCAAAAGATGATTATACTTTCAGAGCAGATATGTCTTTTAAGCCTGGATCGACATACGAAATCAAGGTAATGTAGCAGCGCAACTGGTTGTTTTATACTTGTTAACAATGAATCCAATTATTATTCGTGTCATAACATCAATTTGTAATTACATTGCGTGGTAAAGAATTATTCTTACCAGAACTAATCCATGTCCCCTTCAAGAAGCATGCTAGGTGAATTTTGTGGCCAACTAGGTCTGGATGGTTAGGTTAGCATTTGGATGATATGTGACGGAAATGAACTTTTCTACATTATTATCTTAGCTTTCTGAGTCCTTGGTAGAACTTTTACCTCTCTCTTTGTAGGTGATGTTGTGTACTTAATGTTACCAATATTCTAAGTACTTTCAGATCTATACAGGATCTGGATCTAAGAAAGCCAGGTGTACGCAAACCTCCCAAAAGGGTCGAGTTTCAGGTGACTACGGAGGAGGTCTTAAAAAAAGCTGATTTCAGGGTGAGCATTCCTTAATTTCATGTTGCTGATTTACCAATTCCATTTACCAGTTCTTTTTGGATAGCTGGGAATAAAAAAATGTTGGAATTAGTAGTAAAAGTCCTTTGGATACATTGCAAATTTTTTTCTCTTAGTCACCTACTTTATATTGGATATCGTACGATATGAATTTCTCATCTAAATGTCATAGGCTTAAACAGAAGTACTTGGTTTTGAATTCATTAATATAAGTAATCTAGAAACAGAGTACGATAAATGATAAGTTGGGGTAGGATTGTTTATTGCTGGTTTTCTGCTTAGTTCTATTTAAAAAGTCTGGCAGAGTGTTCATGTGTGTTTTTATCAAAACTGTATATCCTAGAACAAGAGAAATTATTTCGGTTAGAATTTTGGTTTGTCATCATAATGTAGTTTGTAGTTTCCAATAGCCATGGACCATCAAAATTGTTTGAATAATTCGATTAATTGATTTACGAACGAGTTTCTGATATGGGTTGTGTATGTAATCGGTTGTGTTTGCAATCAAGAAAGACAGATCGTACAATGCCCTCTAAGAGTTTCTAAAGTTGTTCTTTGTGGCACTGAAATTTAGTTCACGGCTCTCTTAGATGAAGTTTTATAATACAGAATACCTTTCCAAGCAAAAGATACTTGATGAGAGTTAAATAGCATTTTATGTCTCTTACCACTGCTGTAGGCATATCTAACAATGAGCTAATAGTTGTCTGCAGAATGTTAGATTCCTGGCAAACTTTATAACTGACGCTGGAATCATTAACAAGAGAAGCAAGGTGAACTTTTTGAACAAAAATCAGATTTTGAGAAAGTTTGAGTCTTCAACCGTCATCTTATTTTATCACTTCAACAATTTGCAGACAGGTATTAGTGCCAAGGCACAGAGGAAAGTTGCCCGAGAGATCAAAACTGCACGAGCTTTTGGCTTAATGCCTTTCACAACAATGGGAACCAAAACATTTGTTTTTGGGAAAACTATGGAGGATCTTGATAAGGACTATGAGTATGAAGTTTTTGATAATACTGCTGATGCAGATAGAGGGCACCCGCTTGGATCCTAAAGACCACACGTTTAGATGGTCTTGAATTATTTCCTTCGCCCTTGCCTTTCTTCAAAGTTGGTATGCATTTGCTGCTATTTTTATCCAACCATTCGCGCCCAATCGCTCCAGGGCGGATTTAGTTTGATTGCTGACTATCATTGTACTTCAAAGCCCCAGAATCCTGCAAATCTGTCGGGCGAATTCCTGGTCTTACTCTTCTCACTGAGATGTTCTAAATTGAAGTCTTTTTATATTGATTTTCTGGTTAGAAGTTCAGTTCCTATAGTTTGCATATTTGTTCTTGTTTTAGCGTCTATGTAAAGGCGAGGTAAATCATAAGCCAGAAACTAGAGCAGTTTGTTTTCCTACAGAAATGTCTGTTGTGGATTTTGTTATTCAATAGACATGTTAGGCAGAATATAATACCAACCATTTTTCTGAGTTACGAAGAATACTGATTGATTCTGCTTGGAATCATTGACATATTAACAAATTCAATTTGGTTGGGCTTAGATATATATTGTTGTAAAATACTTTATCATATGGATAACATCTCCATACTAACGGGAAATGAAGCATTGAAAATATTCGTCAACCATTCAATTTGCGTTCTATCATTATTTGTTCGTAATCAAGTTGCATCTATTGCCTCCAAGGGATAGTTCGGTTGGCAACATCGATTAGCTTTTGGACTTTGCAAATATTGCAAAATAAGAAATTAAAATTTTGATTTTTTAGTTATTTTAACGTTATCATTTCATTTTTTAGATATATAATGGTACGTTATTCTTCAGTAATGTAATAAGTTAGATGGTATGTTAGCATTTATGTTATAAAAGACATTTTCATTTTAAAAAATCTATAAATAATACGATTCAAATTCATATTAGCTATATCGATGATATCATCACTTAAAATTTCGACTCTGTGCAAGACCCAAAATAAATTTGGCTAATTTTGCAAAACTGAAAATGGATACTTTTGCAAACACTCCATTTAATTATTTTATTTTAGCTTTTTTCTATAAAAATGAACTATGAAAAATCTAAACTTTTCTGATCAATGTGACCTGGAGACAATACAGAAATCATTACTGGAAATTAGCGAAATTGCAAGACGTTGCTAAGGCTGGTAGTTTCAGTAAACATAATTAATCATATAAATACTCGCAATAATGACCATAAAGACTAATACAGACCAGTTCAGAAACAATCAAAAGACAATCAATCAATCAATCAAGCATATACCAATCCACCATAAATTTGTTAACAACAAATGACTCTGAAGTTAGGAAGAAGAAGATCAAGGACACCTGCATCAACGATGACGTCGAAACGAATGACAAGAGCCTCTCGGTTTTGGCCCGGATATGAATACATCAAATATTTGATCAAACGAGTTTGTAAATATTCATTTTGTAACCGAGTACAACAACATGATACATCTAAATAAATCATTGAAAACGTTACAATAACAGATTCACATATCATATCATACTAATTCTGAGCTCAATATACCAATCAAAGACTCACATAGCAAAGGACAAACCTCACTTTAAACCTGATGAAGCAAATATGGACAAGAACAAGCTGATGACCAGCCAAACCAGACAATGATTTTCAATTGTGGGCTTCCCATTGTCAATCTCTAAAGATTAAAACTCTTCAGACAATCAAAGATAATATACTAAAACATATAACTGCAAATTACAAGATTGTAGTTTACAAAAGATTCAAGTAGTCTTTATTTTTCTGACTGATGAGCATTCTATACCAAAATTTCATCCCCAAACATGAAAGACAAGTAACCATAGGATAAATCAATTTGGCAATGAAACCCACATCTCAAATATATTTATTGACAGAACCCAGATAACGAATATTCTTATTGGTTTTACCTCAGGAAACGAAAGAGAAAAGAAAAAGTTAACTCAAATAGCATTTATAGAGAGCTAAAAGGATTACTAAAGACTCGAAAATGCGCCTAAACTTCAAGATTTCAAGAGAATTCTCGAAGATAACCTCGCCGGTAGAGTAATAGAGATTAACAAAATCCAACCCCTTCACAGATTCAGAGACAAAAAACTGAGATTACTCCGATCGATTTGCATACCTCTCGACGTTGTTATCATAGAGGTTAATCCCCACCATGGCCTCGCCCAATCCAGAGCTCACGTCGGCAAGCACATCAGGATCGCTGTAATGCGTCGTCGCCTGCACGATTGCCCTAGCCCGCCTCGGCGGATTGCCGCTCTTGAACACGCCGGAGCCGACGAAGACGCCATCGCATCCCAGTTGCATCATCATCGC